AGCAGAACACTGTCCAAAAGGTTCATATTTTGAGATTAAGAGGCAGCTTATTATGGGACTAATAACATGGAAAATGAGGGGAAGCATGAAGAAAGCCTAATTTCCTCTGCATAATACTGTAGGACTCATGGAATTGGAGGGGGGCAGAGGGGATASTGCCTCAGGGCAGAACAAGCAGCTGTTGTCCCCAGGTGGAGTTAAGACAGTGGGAGCCCTGAATCCTGCAATTTCTCATGTTCCTGACAAAACTTTTACCTGCCAAGTATTGCCAAAACTAGTCTGAGTCTGGGACATGAGGGAYGTGGACAAAACCAGTTGCATAACAGTACCCTCCATGCTCTGGATTCAAACTTAAACAGAGGCAGAAATAACCCTGCATTGTCCCCAAAGTGCTAAAATTTCTTGCTGTAATGACAGGCAGGGGCTTATCTGGCTTTCCTGCATGTGGGAGCGTTTCTGTTGTGCAAATGCAGCTGCACTTTTCATGTGGGGCAACTGTTGCAGCTAAGTAAAATTGCTAAAATTAGTTAATCAGCCTAGTACAATGATTTCCGATATTTTCCATAAAACAATTTGCCTCCCACACAGTGTGCATCTCTGTCCCATTTCACAGCAAAAGAGCCAAAGAGCCCCTCGGGCTGAGCATCCGGCACTCAGCACCAACCAGGCTCTTCCGTCTCGCCTGGAAAGAGCCAGAGCAGAGTGTTCAAGCTGAGACTTATGATGTGCCCTAAAGTGCTTCATTTCTCCGCAGTAAAACTCCCCAGTGAAGGGAAAGCAGTTTTYCTAATCCGCCTAGAGCTGTTGGTGGAGGCTGGAGGTGGCCACGCACACCCCCTCAGCCTGACCTCTCTACTGGATGGCTGAAGCTCTCCAGGCTTCAGCCAGCTGCCTATAAAATATTTTCTTTCTTCAGCTCATAATTGGGCTCAATATATTTGTTTGTTTGTTTGTTTTAATCCCTAATTCCACGGCTTTTCTCTACCTATCCCTAATATCCTGACAGTGCCTAGTAAACACCAGCTGAAAGCCTGGATGGAGGATTTGGGCTGACCTGGTCCTGCAGGGTGCCGCCYGTTTTGTGTCCTCAGGTCTCACTGACTGCTGTTTGTGAACCATAAAGCACAGGACTGGGCTCTGCTCTGCCTGGTGATTTGGGATGGAAGGTGGCCCGGCCCCTGCTGTCACCTCAGGCTCTGGCTCTGCATCTGAACTGGCCACAGCAGGGGATGTGTCCCAGTTTCTCAGCTGACAGCCTGAGGTATTCACTTAAATGAGTCTGGAATTAGTCATAGCAGATTTTTACCTGGAAGAGGTAGAAAATGAAGATGAAGTTCCATTTGAAATGTAAAGTAATGATAATTAACAGAGGTAACTCTTTGCTTCCCATTGAAGTCTYACCTGAAGGAAAACTGAACTGAGGGAGAGATTTTAGTAGACAACTTGGTCCTGTCRTGCCATAGGGTCAGGATTGCTGACAGAGGCTCTTCAAAGCTATTCTCCATCTCTTTTAAGCAACTGCAACTGATTCAGCATCCCTGTTCCTAAAAAGGATTTTTTTTTGTTGTTGTTCCTACGAAGTGTCCGATGTGCATCCTTCTTGCTGCCATTGCAGCCTGTGTTCCATCACTGACATGGAGATGAGGTTAATCCCTGTGTTTCCCTAAAACAAACCTGTAGCAATTCATTCTCTGCTTTACCTCCTCCTAAGGCCAGTGCCTTGGTGCCAGTTAGTAAAAGGAAAACTCTTATTTGGCAGCGTGTTTCTCACATGCAATAATTCAGTGTATTTCCCATGTGATGCTAATAACAGTRGAAGGCAAGAAATCACATCAGGTGCAGACAAGCAAGAAGGCAATGACAAGGCAGTGACATGRCTGAGACAAAGGAGTGCACGGAAGAGGAACAGACCTCAGACATGCTGAGAGCAGGACGATGTGACACTTCACCCCTGAAAGTGTCACTGCATGCACGGGTCAGCCCTGGTGCAGGGAGAAGGGAGCATTGCAGAAGCAGGAGCTGTGGATGGCAATTTCTCATCTCCCAAATCAGGGGTCTCTTGTACCACAGTGCCTGATCTGTTCAAATCAGTCTGATTTGTAACACAATCTTCTCGGAACACTTGCAGTTCCTGCATTGAGGAGGAGGTTTAACAGTGACAGTAAATGCAGTCCCAGTTTTACAGACAAGGAGATGGGACATGAAGAGATGATGTGAGGAAACTTATCCTTTCACAAACAACAGGTCGACAGTGGGATTGGGAACATCACATGTGCTTCTAGGGTTCCACTTCATTCACTGGACTTCACTATGGACTAAGGACATGTGTTCACATTGGAAGGCTTTGCTCAAATGAGCTGTACAGATCTGCTCAGCTAATGTGATCTTAGTTCAGGGACTCAATTTTTGGACAGGGACATGGCATTGGAGCCCAAGGATCCAAGCAGCACAACTCGGGTCTGTAACCCCCGTTAGATGCTCAGGGTAAGGTAAGCTTTGATGGATCCTCAGGATGTTCATGGCTGCAACACAAGGTCATGCAAGTTGCATGGAGGACTAATTGTCACTGGAAGGAAAACGATGAGGAAAAACAAACTGTACAACTGTTGTCCCACTGATGGCTTCTGAGCAACAAATTTTGCATAAAGAAACTGCAACCCTATCCCTGAGCTTTGTAAAGCAAAACCCACACGAGCACAAACAGAAACGCCTTGTCCACAGCTTCAAGTAACTAAAATAACTATTTTCTCTGTCACCAGGGAGAAATATTTCATGATCATGACAGCTGCTGTTTCATTATGAAGCAGTTCTGGTTTAGGTGGCATATTGTTTATAATGGAAATAATCTTAGTGTGCAGCACACAGAGCTGTAGTTATATGGCAGCACTGTAACCCTTATGGAGACCCTGATGGTGAAAAGGGTATGTGACACAGCAACTTCTTTGCTTGCATTATTGTTCTAATTTCCCTCAGCCCAAGAAGTAATGTGCATAGATCTGCTCAAAAACATAACTTTCCCTGCTAAMATATCCTTCTTGCTGACAAAGTTTATGGAGTTGAAAGCTCTTTAAAGATATAAACAGAATTTAGTAAATTGCAGTCCCATCATGAGATGTTACAATAAAAAACATGATTTATCACTTTTTTAGATGACAATTTATCTTGACTTTGTCAGATATAGCTCCCACTATATAATTTTGTTCTATTATTTTGTATTAATCCAGTGTTTTGTGTTTGACCAAAACATGTCATCAGTCTCTACCTTACAAATGTGTGAATAGTCAGAATTATCATTGAAAAGAAAAAAAAAGAAACTCCTATATGGAAGAGCATAATATCATGCTGGAAATGCAGCATTTTTCAGAAAACTACCTAATCCATTGACTTTTAAATTGCTCACATGCCATAAATACTGAGAATAAATGGGGTGSGTGGGATGGGAGTGAAATGCCTCGCAGCATAAACAGTCTAGGACCTGCTTCTTTGGCAGCATGTTCCCCTTAGAGGATGCTTCACTGCTGACAAGGGCATCTCCCAAGTCTTGAGAAATAAGGGCAGTGAAAGGAGAATTCTTCCTCATCATGTTCAGGGTCTGCTCTYTGTCACTAAATCCAGGTGAAATCAAGCAAACTCTGAAGAATTGGTCTGGATTCACCCAAATTCTGCCCAGCAGAGCAGAGCCMTTTGCTCAGTTAACACCTTTGGTAACAGTTGTGATGTGCTGCATTTAGGCATCACCTGCACCCTGTGCAGCAAAGCATGCACAGACCCAAGGACTGGAAACCACCTGAATGACAATGGTCAGACTGCCAGGTGAGAGCTGTTGCTAGAAAAAAACTCTGGGGCTTTTTTTTTTTTTTCCCTCCTGTTCATGACTTGGATCAAGCTTGACCTTGTTTAAATCAAACRAAATACTTGTACTGTATAATAAAAATTCCATGTTTTAATACATTGCCATGCACAAATGAAGTCAAACAATGCAGAGTACAAAATTGTCAAATATACAAAATGATAAAGCAGATACCCAAAGCTTCCAGAGATCATGCCCAAAGATACCAAAAACTTGATATTGATTTTAATTTTATTGTTTAAAAGAACTCCTCCCTCCCACCYGGGCTTTATTTTTTGTTGAGTTTTGAAAACAGAAGGACGTAAAGACTGAATATAAAAACTGTAAGGTGAAATTAACAGTGATGGCCACTTTGTATACTAAAAATTAGATTGCATGATAATTTCTGTTTTGGGAAAAAAGCACTGCTGTGCAGCTGAACACCTTGGATGCCTGGGGAAACGCAGTGTACATCAAACAAAAAGGCACACTTTTGTCTCATGCCACTTCATTTGGCTCCATCATTAAAGAGTTCAGCCATWGATGTATTGGGAATAACAGTGTGTCACTCTGTGAGCATTAAGAGTGCTGGCATCTTCCTAGATTATCAACCAAGTTAACATTAAAAGGAGATCACTGGCTTGGAGTATTTCCTTAGTGAATGTAAACTGGAACTGAGTCCAMAGGCAGCAGGAGCAGACACGATTTGGTGGCTTCAGGTGACTGTTCTGACCGTGGCCATGGGCTGGCACTCAGCCTTTCTGTATCCACTGCATCAGTGACCACATCTCCCAGGACCCTGATCCCAACCTCCCTCTCCCTCCCTGCAGCTCATGCCAGCAATGATGTGGATGCACCAGCACAGCCTGGCATCTGATTCTGTYCATGGGCTCCTTTTTGGGAGGCAAACTTTGGAGACAGCTCAGGTGCAACTGCAATTCCAGCTGTCAGTTACCTGCTTTCAAACAACTTTAAATACAACTCCCAAAAATAGAAGAGCCCAAATTTAGAGCCCCCTTTGCTGGTTTACGGTGTGCAGAGCCAGGCAGGCACTCTTCCCATTTACCCAGACTCATGAAAAACAAACAGTATTTTTGAGGCAGGTCCAGATAGCTGCAGTCCCTACAAGAAGCTGAAAGCAAAGCCCAGCACATCCCAAAGCACTGCCCTGCCCTGCCACTTTCAGATGCTGCAATAACTCTGAGAAATTTAAAAATACACCTCTTAGCCTTGCCAAGTATTCCTGCAGCTTAGCAAAGCAAATGAGTCTTCTCAGATGCAGCCTCTTCAGGGAAATACTGGTTATTCCCATTGCCAGAGTGGCTGCAAGAGCTGCTCAGCATGGACAGAACACTGGGCTCTGCTTGTGGGTTAGCCCAGCATGGCTCCACTCCTCCCCTTGGTCAGTGCTGTTGGAATCAGAGAGAAGGTGAGATGTGGGTCTTGTGCTGAGATGCTTTGCATAGGCTGGAAGCTCCTGTCCCTCTGTGCTCTTCCTACTGTCACTGAATCTCCTTTCCACCTTTCTCAGAAGCACAGAGGAGGAGCCTCTTACATACARTGGAAGCAGAAAAAGGGCTAAAAGGACTCCAAACATTTCTTTATCTGTCTGGTCTTGACAYCAAAGCCTGGCTCAGTAAGGAAAACCTCTGCCTAGATACAAAGCAGCCTTGTCAACATTGAAGAACACCCAACCAACTGATCAAGTCTCCTAAGCATCTGATGGGACAATTGGTGGGGTTTTTTCCTTCCCTGCACAGCTTCTTATTGCTTACATGCAGTTTTGCTGCAATACCAACCTCCCTGCTTTTTAAAAAAACAAAAAAAAACCCCCAAAAAAACCAACCCTGTGTTTTGCTATTTAATTTGGTGAGTTATGGCATTAAATAGATAAATTCAAGGCAAATGCTTAATAGAAGGAACTAATTAGAGATGTAACAATGACTACAGAAAATATTATTTTTCAGATAAACCATTTAGATATATTTGGAATTAGTATCAGGAGCTTCTCCTTTCATTCTTATACTGAGCCTGGCTGTGCTATAATAATGCTGTCAATCCTGTTCTTTTGGCAGAAGCAGATGTTACAGTCACAGCCAAGTTCATCTTTGTCCCTGCCCAGCCAGCCCCAGCCAAGCCTGTCCCAGATGCTCTCCYTCAGAGCTGCAAGGTGTCCCAGCAGTGTGAGGACCCCCATAAGCTATCACACCCTGAAGCCAGGGACCCCTCAGAATTTGTCAGGCAGCAAGCATGTACCAATRTTGTTTAAACCCCAAATCTAGTCCAAACTAATTTTCTTAGGATTTCACATTCGATTAGAGCAAGAATCCCCAAAGATCTCTATCTTCATAGCTACAGCCATAGCTGGTTCCTTCTTGTATCAGCTTCTTGATGTTGATTCAATAACAATCTGCAGTAAGTATTGTTTTTATGGTTTCCCTTGTCTGTGTGARCTGTTTACTCTTTAGACCATACATCCAGTTTGTGCTTTTCCCACCACTTGATGAAGCACATGGAAGATGATTCCAATGGTTCACACTTGCCTTGCACCCATCAAGTGGTTCAGTGCAATCTGAATCAGACACCGAGTTTATTATTTAATCAGACTCCTCTGCTTTATTTCTAAAGTACAACATTCAAATCAGCCAGTGGTAACAGGACCCAGTCTGGCAAAACCCCACTGCTGGGAGCAGCTGTCAGTTCTCTGGGTAATCCCACTGATGCCATTTCATTTCCAGGGCTTTATTAACCATCTCCAATGGGGCTTGTCATGAGAGCAGAAGTTTGCTGTCTTTGTGTACTGTGCTCAGCCTCACAGTGGTACAATCGCCCTCTCCATCTCACTGCAGCTTCTCTGCCAGTTGTTGCAGGCAGGAAAATCTSCTTCTTGCCAGCAAGATGCTCCCTCCTTAAGAGGCAAACCCACAGCTGTTATTCCTTGCTTTGACTACACATCCACATGGATCCATCATTTGCATGCAATATTTTATCCCAAGCTGCTATCAATGAAAGGCTACAGACTCTTGGTATGTCCAAGGGTTTTGTTGTCCTTTCTTGTCCAGTTCTTTTCCTTTAATTATGTGCAGCAGAACCTTACAACTGTGAGCAGACCTACTGATGCTCATACCAAATGTACAGCTTTCCACAGAAGCTGTTTAAATTGATACTATTTTGTGGGGAGGGAAAAAAAGATATTGATTGCCCTGCCTTCCTTGAATATTGGAAATTTCAGGGTATTTTTAATTCTGAAGTTTACATCTGATGATCTAGTCTAATCCTTGCATAACACATGCCTAATAACTTCATCCAGTAAATGCTGCACCGAGCCTGGATTTCAGTTTGAGGTAGAGCTTATTGGCTTAGAAAAATACTCTGCATACATTTAAAGACTTTATGTGATGGAGAACATGCCAGGTAACTAAGTAAGTTGTCTCCATGGGTAATCATTCTCCCTGTTGAGTATTTTCACTTAATTTCTAGCCTGAAATCCATTTCCAACCAGTAGAACACATCATTYCCTTTTCTTCTAAACAGAAGAGCTACCTGCCTTCAGACAGCACTTCCCTGCCCAGGCAGAAGATTGTGATTGCAGACGGAGATCAAGTCATCTCTTCAAATTGCCTCTGATAAATGAATAGCTGGAGCTTCATTAGTCTGACACTATAATAAGACCTGTTTTCCTGCCCTTGAATGACACTGGGAACTATGGAAAATAATTTTTCCAAGTTGTATATACCCTTTTTGAAAGACTGACAGTGACCAAACAAACTGGACTGGCATCACTATTGCCAGGTCCTACATCCCAGCAGGCAAGAGCATCTCTGGGGCTGCTGCTGAATGGGTAATTTATGACACCTTCACAACCACTGTATTATTGCAGACATACTCCCCATGCTTCTAAGTTGGACTTGCTGCCATCTCTCSTGGATTTTTAACTTTTCTGTCCTCCAGGTTGTTTTCCACCACTGACCAGCTCATATGATTATTTATCATGCCCCTGTTTTTGTCATCTCTGGCTGCTGCCAACAGTAATTTTCTCTTTCCCTGGGGGGTATATTGAAAATACAGCATACCTTGGGAGGAGCTCATCAGAAATAGTCTCACTAAGAATAATTCATATTTACAGCTATTTTTTGTGATCTAGCCGGTAACCAGTTTTAATCCACTTAATATGGGTGATATTGCATCGTGCTATTTTGTTCTTTATCAGAATCAACTCCTCAATAGGAGGCTAAGTACAGTATACCAGCAGAGCTTCTTTTCTCAACAATCCTTTGATATCACAAAAAATAATAAGTTTATTTGGCATGATAAAGTTTTATAAAAGTAATTTGGAGGGTTTTATCAATTTTTAACTGCTCTAATGATCACACCGTATCAACTTTTTTGTGATTTCGCCGAAGACTGATAGGAAGCTAATGAGCCTATAGTTTTCTGGATCAAACCACTAGTTCTTTGAACTACTGTGGGTTTGGTGTCATTTGAAGCTTCCTTTATGCTTTTTGGTTCTCAGGAGTCTTAGGCAAGTTTTCCTTCACTTTTGGCTTCAGTTAATGGTTCTACAAATTAAAAATTATGTTTGGATAGTTACTGCCTAATATTACCTGTAATTACTGATGGAGTAGGAGGAGTAATATTTTAATGTGTAATCTGACTCCCTCCTTCCACTGCTTTCAAATATAAAACACAATTATTTGTTGGGTTTTCAATGTAGTGTGAGCAATCTCTGTGCTGGGTCTGTCTAACATCACAGTTAGCTTTGACGGTATTTATTAGGATATATGTAAACTCTTTGGTGTAACCAGCCCTAACCTATTTGCCACTGAGTTCTCATATATTTTTGGTTTCCCTCATTAAGCATCTACTTTTCTTACTTGCTGATTTATCCTCATGAGCCTGCCTAATCACCCATACATTATGTTGGTGGGTTTTTTTGCACTCCAGATCACTCTCCTGAATTTTATTATAGGAGGTTGCAGGTAATGCTGGTAATATCTTCACCTCACCCATCAATTTTAATTATAAYAAAGGACCTTCTCTTTTTAAATTAAAATCTTATTGACAGCCTATATATACCAGGGGCAATTGCAGTCCTGCAGCAGAGCTGTTCAAGGAGACTCTGATGGCAGAGATGGTAACTGTTGAAGGGGACCAATGTGAAAGATGCAGGGTTTTTCTTTGCTTTTGAATAATGCAGATCTTTTGGCTTTGTGGCAGGTGTAGGGAGKTTCATTTTGGTGATGGCAAAAAACCCCACCTTGATCCTGGCTCCTTGGCTGGCACTGATCAACTCATCTCTGGAGGCTGTGATGGAGTACTGCCAATGTAAATCTGCTGGGGCCTGGCATGGGGTCTTCCAACAATTCATGGCAAACCCAGAATTTTGTAGTTTTTAATGGTTTCATTTCCTCAATGATGTTGAAGCTGCTGCTCAGTGGCAACACTTACCCTAAGGAAGAGACAGGGAGGGATGAACTCACTGTTACAGCATTGCCACGCATCCGGACAAGCAAAACCGAAGAGCTCATGGAGCTATTCCAAACTCCCCTCCTGGAAAACTGCCTTTCCCTTAACAGAATAAAGAGCGGGTGTTCAGGCACAGAAAGCCACCCAGATGAAAAARAAMCRAGGAAAAAAAAAGTGCAAAGGATGCTCTGAGCTGCCAYGTGCTCTCTGGGGTGAGCAATTCCTTCAGGTTTCTAGTGGAGGACTTTTCCTGGTGTGATGCACTTGGAAAGGCTGAGTTTCTGACAGGGACCTTTAGTGGRGTCTGATGCTGCAACCTGGACACAAAGAAATGAGGTGAGTGTGGTGACAGKGACAGGCTCCAGGCTGGGAGGGGACTGCAGGTCCTGCACAGGGAAMAGGGTCCTGCCTTGTCTCACAGATAATAACTGGTGCTCAATGGAACAGCAGCATGGCCTTCACGAATTTATCTATCTCCACAGGCTGATAATGGCTGCTTTAGCAAAACAGCGTTACTCTTCCACTCTTTTGCACTGAACTAATGGCTCTGAGCGTATTGAAATTCACTTCCTTTGCCGGAATAACTTATTTGCTCCCTTTCATGTTGACTTGGTCTTTGGCACTCTTGACATAAATGATTTATTGACTAGAGATAAAGCATTCTTTCCCCTGAACTGTTCCTGCAACCCAGGCAAAAGCGGATATGTCTGCTATTAATAAGGTGTTCGGCATAAAATATGCAATAGACTTGATTGTCTGCACTCAACAGCTTTTCCGAGAACACAGTACCTGCCCCCATTCATAATAACAAAAATCTCTCCCACATGTTTATTTATACTAAAAACTTTTCAGAAGAATGTGCTGGGATCCAGATAGTTGTTCAGGAGATGTAGAACAATTTCATAAATATCCCTGAGGAAGCATGGCCTACTTTGGGAGAATAACAGTGATTAAAAAAACCCAAACACAATGAATAGTTAAATACAAGCCAAAAAGTACAGTTATTTCCTTATGGCTCTGGCAGACAGTTACACACGTGAGAAGTGTCACGGGGCTCGGGGGAGCTATGCTTGCAGTTATCCACATGCATAGGCTGGCTGCAGGATGGGGACCTACACCAGCTTCAAAGGAGCTTTGTCCGATAGGCACCTACAGCAGACTTCTCTCCGAGTCTGGCTACTCAAGGGTCTGGACTTGATTTTCACATTTCTCAGGGCCTATAACACTGCTTTTCTAGGTCACCATAGCTAAAATCCTGGGAAGCTTTTAAAACAAACTGTTTTAACAGGAGAAGTGCACACATCTAAATTCATGCCCATATACTGGAAGATGTTCAAAACTAACACTGATACAAAAAAAGCTTCTAGTGGCTCTCTGCCTAACGCAACTTCTTCTCAAACACCCTTTTAAGATAAGACTCTCTGATAAACTCTTCTTTTATCATTCAAATTATTTTGGATTTTTTTCACTGGGTAGTAAAATAAGAGAATTTTCTACTGTAGAAGTATAGCATTCTCTTTTTAATTTAACATATCAATCAAAGTATTTTGTTTTTAATTGCTTTACCAACATGAAATTGATGTCAGTTGCCAGAGTGCATTTTTAAAACCTGTAGCAGAAAGAGCTGTAAAATTTGCTGAAGCTTACAGTGGACCTGTGCCATGCACATGGCCGGCTCTATTGGTATCAGATTCCAACCTGCAACCCTATGAAAAGCTCTAAAAAGTGCAAATGTTGCAATTGGCAAACATCCTTATGTTTTAAAGAGAATTTTTACACCAATTAATTTGAAATTAGGGACCAGGATTTTCAAAAAGAGAATGTAGAAACTTACTGCTCTGTAATTCTTGGGAGCTCTATTTGAAAACCCATGAAAAGACACAAACCATTAAAAATCACTAGCAACTTCTGAAAATCTTGGTCACCAGTAAAAATAATTTGCTTTTGGACTGAATACTATAGAAGTATCCACCATGCTGAATCTGAGATGGGTGGAGAGCTGAAACCTAAGCCCATAACCATCTGAAAAAAATTAAACCCTGAAGATAATTATCTTTTATACAGGCACCCTCAGTGGCACCTTCCATTCTCTAGCAATGAACTGAACAATAGTTTTTAAAAATTGTAGCACAGGAGCTTCCTCCAGAAAGGTGCCTTTCACTTAACTCTAGCTGCACATCTTTCAATCTTCACACAGCATTGTGTCACCCTCAGTTTGGAATAAATGCTAACAGCAGCTCTACAGTACCTGTTTATCAGGCTGGAGAGAGTGACAGTCTTCACACAAAAAAGCTACCTTTGATATTAAAGAAAGAAGGAACAAACAGGTAAGCCCCTCAGTGTGTTGATGACATCAGTTCATTATAAATAGTGTGCCAAGAAAGTCCTGATGTAAGGGACAGACACTAATTCCACTGAGTCCCCATGGAAGAAACAGCACCACAGCCAGCTGTGGTACAACCAGTGATGAGGTCAGCCATTCAGAGACTGAACAAAAAACAACGTTCAGATTGAATGCAACAGTCTTGAGCCTGCTACAGTATATTGAAAGGCTTATTGGAACCTTTTGCTTATTCCCAGTTCCTACCAAAATACTACTTTGGGTAGAAAGTGGAAAAAGTTAATGAAGAAATCTGCCCTCTCCAAAGGGAGTGTCTTGCTCCTTAGAAGTATAATCTTACATTTCACCTTTTTCAGAGAGTTTGGTTTGGACTACAATTTCCCAGCCCTGCCCAAAACATAAGTGGTGGCCAGCATAAAGAACCTGAATTCTTCCAGTTTATTCTGGTTTTATTGCAGACCAAACCCAGGGTCACACACACATCTGAGAAAGGCTCTCTCCCTTGCCTTTCCCTCACTGAGTTCGAAAACACACTGGCACACTAGAAACGAGAGCCTTGGATATTTGGTGGGTGAGAGGGAGAGCAGACACAGTGTCCACAGCTCATTCAACCTACCCTGCTCTTGGCTACCTCTGTGACAGCTGTTCCCTAAGTCTTGATAAAAGAAGTCACATCTCTGCCACGTGCAAATCTATCTACACAACCTACTGTGAATCAGTGATGGGATGCTAGTATTGGGCTTCAGTTTGGATGCAGTCTCAGCACAAACACTGAAACATACCCTCAGTATTTTAAAAAAAGACCATTATATATATGGACTGTGCTAGTTCTGTGAGAAAAGCACATATGAAGTGCTGATAYCGTTTAACAGAACACCATTAGACTGCAAAACTAACACATACAAGACGTTTACATTCCTATCAGGGTGTAATATTGTGAACATATCCACTGAGATTGGAGAATTGTTTTTTTTTCCTAAAACATCATGCCATCTGCATACATAATAAAAGAATCCAGTAGTTGCCATGCTAAAACAGGACTTCTAGTGAAGGGCATAGACAGTCCCCTAAAGGGAACTCAAAAGTTATGCACAGTGATGAAGACTGGAAAAAATTTTCCAGCTAAAGGTCTGTCAATGACCATTTTCAACAAATTAGCACTGGATATTTTGCACCACATATTTACTCCACAGCAAACCAGGTCTCCCTAGAATGTATCAGCTGAGTGGGCTGATTTTACTTCAAGTTTGTCTTCAATCCTCCATAGTCATCTTCTGGCAGCGCCATTTATTGTGGTTTTTTCATGAAGGAAAGTTCACTTTCATATCAAGTGGCAGGACAGCAGCTTTAGAGGCTGGAAATGCTTATGGAGAGCTCTCCGCTGGGGCTGTAAGAAACAAAACAGAAATCCAAAACCAGACTGTGAGTATGGAACAGAGTAAATGAATTATCATGCACTTCAATTAAAATTGAAAAAGTCAGGTTTGAGCTTAGTAAATGTACTCTTAGGATATATATTGTGACCCTAGTACTTTCTTTAATCAACTTTACTCACAAAAAAACTCAGTGCTTAATCAATTCCTTAGATAAATATGAAGTGCAGACCAGCAATCATTTGCATGATTTAACAAATCCTACTTGAATTTTATTGCCTCATGTGAAAGCACTGCTTACTCTTCCTGTAGTCTGAGTCCAAGAGAGCAGGGCTCTTCTGTTTGTTTGGATTTGCATTAACTACTGAAAGCTCGATAGCCAAATGCTGGAAAGGCTCTCCCAAATGCCCAAGTAGTATTTGATGTTCCTGCACCAGATTTCTGCTGGCCAGGGTGGTGAGAACTGGCCATTGGKGCACAGACAATGTGAAAACAGCTCACCCACACCCTTCCCCGCTTCAGACCCCGTAAGACAATGAGGAGGTTGCAGAGTTTGTCCTTTCAGCACACTCAGTGCTGGTGGCTGCTATTCCACGCCTGAAAGCAGAGGTGTACGGCCATCACACCATAAAGGAAAAGAATGTGGAGGATACTTGGAACTTCTCRTCCCCTTCACCCAAACTTTTCTTTGAGAAGCACAGCCAAAGSACAAGAGGCAATGGACACAGGAAGCAACAAGAGATCTTCCAGTTTAGATGCAAGGAAAAGAATCTTCTGAGTGAGGGTGGTTACATTTTGGCCCAAGTTGCCTGACCAGGCTGTGGGACCTCYACCTACAGAGATATCTGCAACTCAACCAGATGAGGCCCCACACAGCTTGACATGGCCCAGCTTTGAGCACAGTTACTGGAAACATCTCCTGAAGCCTCTTCCAACACAAATATTTTTAAGCTTGTACAATTTCTGATGGGGATTTGTGCTCCTTGTTCTGCATTTTGAACAGGAGATGAGTGGCTGTGCAGAACTGCTCATGCTGAAGCACATTCAGTTGTTAATTCAGCGTGTAGCTCATAAATGCTTGTAAACCCATCACAGGTTCAGGCTTCTGGGGCTGGGGAGCCATGCAGAGGCAAGTTCACTGTGTTATTTCATGGAATYGTAGAATCATTTAGGTTGGAAAAGACCTTTATGGTCATTGAGTCCGACTGTTAAGGCAGCACTGCCAAGTCCACTGCTAAAATGTTTTGGGATGCAGCTTTGTTCATCACACASCTCTCACCCATCACCAGTTTTATGGATCAGATCTCTGACCAGGGCAGTGCTGGGATGGGACTCATAAGGATGGGCTTTGCATCCTTTCCAGCTGATATGCTGCTTCTTTCATGAATGCATGTATCTGTATGTGTGGGAAGAGCTGGATTGTTGGTTTTGGGTGAGATTCCTAATTGTGAAGCTAATRGGACACTGATGCTGCCAAGGCAGCATTCACATCAGCTGAAACTCAGGCTGGCAGTGGATTTCTGCTTCTCACTCCTTCAAAATCATGCCTGGTAGGCTCTTCTCTGTGGGGCGTGGGCTGACTGGCTCTGCCAAGCTGTCACTTTGCCCATATTTGCCTCTCCCCAAKCTCTTGTAGCAATGGACATGAAGGTCTGATTGAGCAGAGAAAGGATGGAATGATAAATCAGTGAGCATTGCACAAGACTAAAAAAACCACCCACTCCCTGCCATGAGCACTTGACCCCTCAGTTTAGATATGCCCTATGAAATAGAGGAACAGTAAAAACCAGTTTTCTGAATTATTTCCCTCCTTATGTGGGCATATTTATCTGTTTATGGTGCTGCTCTTGATTTCTGTTTTTACAGCTGCTTTGCTTTTATCCTCCAGGTTCTCTGGGGCAGTGTTCCCAACACCACCTACTGTCACCTACTACATGAGGTACCCACATCAGTAGGGTCCTGAGAAAGATGCTCATTTGGGACCCAGCAACTGTTTCACTCCAAGGAAGAACATACAGGAGGATTTTGAGCCTTCAGCTGGTCTAGACAGATAACTGGCCACATCATCCAGACAGAAAAGAAACCAGTGGTGACATTAAGCAAGTTTGAAGACAAAGGGCAAATCTGTGGTGAGGTTTTAAAACTGGAGAGCAGCAAACAGGTACTTAATCTCAAAAGTTTTTGATTTCAGGTGAACCAGAGGATGTCTCTCATCTGTGTAACCAGAGACAGGCCTGTCTCACAAAGGAAAAACAGGACTTTGTTTGAGCTCATCTACTGCAAAGAAGGCAGTATTTGAAAAGGTCTCCCAAGCAATAGAAAATAGCTTGCCTAGCCACAGAGTTGGAAGACTAAAATAAAATGGGTAAACTGGCTAATTATTTCAGGTCATGCCTCAGGATTGCACTCAGGCTGAAATGCCCCAATCACCCCTATTGTCTCAGCCACTAGCTTGTACTTGTAGTTAAGTTTGAAATGAGCCAGCTGGCCCTTCATAGAAACCCATGAACGATGAGAAATGGAACTGACCCCAACCTGAGCTCCAGCCACACTGCAGAGGGAGCACAACCACTTCAAGCCATGCAGAGCACCTTGCAGACGTGTCTGGATACCACTGGCAACACTGAGCAACGATAGCAGTAGTTCTGTCAAGTTCTGCACTTAGAGCAAGCAAACGGAGCATTTAGTGGTCACCTAGCCCATTTCTTCTCTTCTCACTTAGTCTTTTGAGGATAGGGTTTCAGAAGCACCTATTCTTCCTCATTACCTGTGTAATTTTTTGTGCCTAGCTGGAGGCTCCTCTAAGGACCCTGGTTATCTAACAGTCCAGTGTTTTCTGGAAGTAAGATCCTTATGAAAGGTATCACAAACGAGCAGTTGTCTTTGAAAACCTTGCCTGAGACTGCAAGCTCTTGAAACACAGACAGCCTTTTGCAGGGGGTGTGTATGCTTACCAACACAACAGTGAACAGATCTAATCTCACATGACATTTTCAAGAAGCTACTGTAGAAAGACAACTGTGATTTCAAAGCCAGAGATGTATTTCAGTTTTTGAGTAGCTGTGCTGTGTGACTTTTGTCTGAGAAAGGGACATATTTTACATGCATTTTAAACACGTTAGCCTAGAGGTATTACCTATCTGTCACATTTCCATAATTGAGGGATTTTGATAAATAAAACAATCATCTATTATCTTTGTTAGGTTTACTCTCCTGGCACTAATTTTATACTATATTCCTAAAGTCAGCACATTTAGAACATGGGATTATAATGAAAAATGCTATTTCCAAACATCCATCTACCATCTATTCCTYTGAGTCTGTGAAAAACTGCATTCAGCAGTTTTTTTAGTAATATTTTTCCTGTGTTCAAAAGGCCATAGGTATCTCTTCACACATCTTGTGTCAATTGAGACATTATAATACCCTGTACATTGTTGCAGACTTGTTGCATCWTKCTGTTAAYTAATGAGAGTTCATATAAYTGTCAGAGGTTTAGGTTSGGAGGGACCTTAAATATCATCCAGTTCCAACTCCCCTGCCACAGGCAGGGAACCTTCCACTAGACCAGGTTACTCAGAGCCCCATCCAGCCTGGCCTTGGACACTGCCAGGRATGGGGCATCCACAGCTTCTCTGGGCAACCTGTGCCAGTGTCTCAACACGCTCACAGTACAGAGTATCTTCCTAATATCTCAYCTAAACCTGCCCTTTTCAGTTTAAGGCCATTTCCCCTTGTCCTGTCACACCATTGTGAAAAGGGCCTCTGTAGCCTCACTTTAGTCCCCTTTAAGGTTCTGGAAGGTGCCATAAGGTCTCCCTGAAGCCTCTTCTTTTTCAGGCTGAACAACCCCAACTTAGCTTGTCTTCATGGGAAGGTGTTTCAGCCCCATGATCAACCTASTGGTCCTCTTCTGAACTCATTCCAACAGTCCATGTCTTTCTTGTCCTGGGGACTCCACAGCTGGATACAGTACTCCAGGCAGTGYGTGTGTCCAGCTCTGGGGCTCCCAACAGATACAAGCACCTCTGAAGAATTTTGGATAAAGGAAAATCTCTGGCAGCCCATTCATAGATTKACCCTTTTCTTTATTGTGCATTATTAACACTGAGGTGTGAGAGAATGAGGTGTCTCTGTAAGGCCCATGGAAGTTCATGTAAAAAGAAATCACCTTCTTGGGGAGTTGCTGACCCCAGTCAGTCACTCTGGTGGAAGGAGCACTGGCAGGGACTGGGAAGTGCTGCCACGGGCAGCCTTGGCAGGGACAGGAACCATTTACCCTGGGACTTTACCAATGAAGTTGTACCAGTAATTGGTTTCGTTTTGTCCCAAAGCCATCCCATTCCTGCTCTGGGTGGAGAACAGCACCGGCCCTTTTAACCTGTGGGTAAATGCAGCTATTGCTGCACATCCTCATTACGTAAGGTCACTGATAGCCAGAGTCAACAATGCCACAGATCCAAGGTTGCCTCAAACAATTGCACACGTRTGTAGGCAGCTGAGCCAGCATGGAGGGGTGGCAAAGCACAACTCCCCARACTGCTCCATCCACCCCCAGACCCTTCCTCTTGTTGGAGCAGCTCCAGCTTGCACAGGCTGCAAGTCAATSCTCAGGGCTGCACAGCCCAGCAGCCTGTGCTAAATAGTGACACATTGATCTACGGACTGAACGCAGCACCCAGCAGCAGAATACAGAGATGTGGATGCTTTTTGATAAAGCTGCCAATTTTGTTTTGATTTTCAACCAGTCACATCTTAGTCTGACTTGCCTGATTTTCCCTTCATTACTAAGAACTGGTAGCTGGTAAGGTCTTGAAGGTTATTTAATGTTGTTTGCCAAATGCAATTGTCAATATGGTGGAAAAATACTAAGGGGGAAAGGAAGGAAGTCTCTTCTTACTTTGATTTTTTAATTTGGTTGCCAAGCAGGAAACCAAGATTTTGCTGTTGGAGTAGTTTGACAGAAAAGATGGGTCTATGAGCATAACACCTAGAGTATCTAACACAATAATCC